CAGACCCGAGCGGTACCCCACCCCGCCAGCTACACGAGAAACACCAACAGCCCAACCCCCAAAATGCTAACCATAGTGGCTTGTGCCGAGCCCGGCGGCGGTAACTGTAGCTAAGGCGCAAAACAGAGACAGCCTGGTGGGTGTAAAAGGCGGGAGTGGCTCGCCGTCGGTCTCTCTCCTCCTGCTTCCAGACCACTCAGCGCCTCACTTCGCACTGAACGCAACGCGCCTCCCGGCAGCGCCTCATAAACCACCTCACCGCCCTTCTAGATCCCTCCGCTATCTCCCCTCCCCCCCCTTCCAATAGCCAAGACAGGGGACGCAGGGCAAAACGAGATCCGGCTCTTTACCCTCAGTTTCTGAACCAAACGCGCTGCTGCTGCTGCTGCTATATATCTCCCTCCCTCCTCCCCTGCCTTGAATTTCATATACATTCTCTCAAAATGTTCACCAGCGGAACAGTCTTAAAAACAGGCTAGTAGAGGAAACCTTTAAAACTCGCAATTTGGGAAATGCTGTAACGGTTATTTTTTTTGAAGGAACTGTTTCGTTTAGCGGAAGAAGATTGAGGAAGGGCAACGCGTGAGTGAACGACAAAGTAACGGACTCCGCTGATTGGTGGCATCGTACCTGCAATGCGTCACTTGGGCATGCACAGTCTGAGCCGGGAGTGATGCGCCCCCTACTGAGAAGTCTGGTAGCCGAGCCGGGGTAGAGGCAGAACTGACCTAGGAGGCGGAAGGGGGTAGTGGTGGCGCAGAAAGCAACTCGCCGCTAAGTAGGACTGTGCTTTCTCTGTAAAGTTTCTCGGCTGCAGCTACGGATGAGGAAGATGAAAGAAAAGCCCTATTTGGCAAGACTGAGGAGGCTTCATACAGTGAAGGAGAAAAGCTAGTAAAGAAATAGAGAGCAAACCTGGGAATTGATAAATCAGTCCTTAGTTAATTAGCGTTTGAAGGCTACTAAAACTGGGAGTGTTTACCCGCTGAGAGTGGGCAGAGGGAACAAAGAAGTGGTTTTGAGGGGAAAGAGGTGTAGAGAGGTTGGACTGGAGCAGATTTGAACAGCACAACCAATAAGCTTTGAAGGACTCAAATGTTCTCTAAAGTTAAGTGGTGGATGCCCTGGTTCTTGATAGAAAGGAGTAATTACGAGGTGGGGGGGGGGTTTCTATTAGAAATGTCTGAAATGGATAAACACACAGGAAGCGTGGGGAGCAGGGTATAGTGGGGAGGGGTGAACCG